AAATGCATTGCATAGGTTGATGAAACTTTTGATGATTTCTATATTTCACGCTCCATTCTAGAATTGTAGTGCCAAACAAAAGTCCTCCAAGCCCAGGGTTTACAGATTTTATTTTTTTAAGTAAAAGAACTTTCAAAATAAGAATAACTCAAATTCAAAGATGCTGGGTCAAGCCTGGTCAACATGGTGAAACCCCATCTCTACTAAAAATGCATAAAATTAGCCGGGCATGGTGGCGCATGCCTGTAATCCCAGCTACTTGGGAGGCTGAGACAGGAGAATCACTTGAACCCAGGAGGTGGAGGTTGCAATGAACCAAGATGGCACCACTGCAATCCAGGCTGGGCGACAAGAGTGAAACTCCATCTCAAAAAAAAAAAAAAGTAGTCATAGCAGAAGTATAAAGATTTCCCTGGATGGAGCAGCCACATAGGCCCAGATACAGGGCTCTGCCCCCATTCAAAACCTAGAGAAAATGAGAACTCTGACTAAAGGAAGAGCCTGACATTCAGTGTAGGAAGGGACACGGAGGCACTTTACGCTATCCTAGGTTAGCTCTGGACAGTCAGAGATGCCAAAAGGAGGCATGTGCTCAGGATGTTGGACAATTTCCACCACCCAGACCTCGCAGGTTAATCAGTGCCCAACTGGGAGGATCCTTCCCACAGGGCACCCCAGGACCCTCTTGAGGACTACACACCTCAAACTCTGTAGTTTTCCGAGTTGAAGGTATCAGCAATGACAGGTTTCTGGGAACAAGCCTTTATGATTAGATTATACAAATGGCTTCTTTGTAAGTGAAATTATTCTATGACAAATGGTAAAATAGGAAAAAACTGAGTCAGTGTTTTAGGTAAGAAAATAATGTACAAAATAATTTCTAATGAATATAAACAGCTAAACTATACGGAAGGACATAGTATTTGCTGTCCTTTTAATTTAACCAACAAATAGTAATACTAAAAGTGTATTCTCTGTATAGTCATGCACTGCATAATGATGTTTCAGTCAACTACGAACTGCATATACGATGGTGGTCCCATCATTTTTTTTTTTTTTGGAAACGGAATTTCCCTCTTGTCATCCAGGCTGGAGTGCAATGGCGTGATCTTGGCTCACTACAACATCCGCCTCCTGGGTTCATGCGATTCTTCTGCCTCAGTCTCTTGAGTAGCTGGGACTACAGGCACCCACCAGCATGCTCAACTAATTTTTGTATTTTTAGTAGAGACTAGGTTTCAGCATGTTGGCCAGGTAGGTCTCAACCTCCTGACCTCAGGTGATCTTCCCACCTCAGCCTCCCAGAGTGCTGGGATTACAGGCATGAGCCACTGAGCCTGGCCCCCCATCATCTTTTAAGATTATAATAAAGCTGAAAAATTTGGCTGGGCATGGTGGCTCACGCCTGTAATCCCAGCACTTTGGGAGGCCAAGGTGGTCGAGAGATCAAAACCATCCTGGCCAAAATGGTGAAACCCTGTCTCTACTAAAAATACAAAAATTAGCTGGGCGTGGTGGTGCACACCTGTAGTCCCAGCTACTTGGGAGGCTGAGGTAGGAGAATTGCTTGAACCCGAGAGGCAGAGGTTGCAGTGAGCCAAGATTGTGCCATTGCACTCCAGCCTGGGCAACAGAGCCAGACTCTGTCTCAAAAAAAAAAAAAAAAAAAAAAAAGAGAGAGAATGCTTTAAAAAAAATTCCCATTGCCCAGTGACATCATAGTTGTCATGGACCTTTTTTTATGTTTAGACACACAAATACCATTGTGTTACAATTGCCTACAGTATTCAGTGCAGTAACATGCTGTACAGTGTTTATAGCTTAGGAGCGATAGGCTATATCTAGGTGTGTGGTAGGCTGTGCCACCCAGGTTTGTGTAAGTACACTCCATGATGGTCACACAATCACAAAATCGCCTTAAAACCCATTTCACAGAACATAACCCTGTCATTAAGTGGTGACTTTATATGAATTCCAATGCAGTTTGGCCAAAAGCATCTTCTTAGAAGAGTTTTAGGGCTATATCTTAACAACAACGCTGATAAAGATTCCTTTTGTGTGTTTCTCTTAAATGATAATATGTTATGTTAAACAATTTAAATAAGCATTTTTTTCCTCTTGCCGGGTTTGTCAGAATTTTCAATATACTCATGTGTTTTGTGAATTTCTAAGAGGGGGATAAAGTATGTGGCAGTTCAAAACTGCTTTGATCAGAGAACCTCAGAACAGATGTTTTGCTGGACCAGAGAGCTGTGTAATAATACAATGATGGAAGGGCTGCTCTAATGAACTCTGTAAAGCTCTATAACATAAGAAAACCACTGTGTACCTCTGAAGAAACTAAACATATAAACCATTTGAAGCATTAACTTATGAAATTGAAAAAATATATAAGGTAAAACATCAGTCAGGGTATATACATTAAAGAGTTAATCAGTTGACATTGCCCAGAATGGTTATGTATGTACATCAACAAAGATAAACTAAAATCAATTAATTTCACTGTACACTTGGCTAAACAAAACAAGGTCTTTAGTTGCAATGTAAATAAATTCATTGCTTTCCTCAAAAGAAATGTTCTTTAAGCCAAAGCATCATGCTAGTGAGTACATACTCAGAACAGAAGCACTGTGCCAAAATAAATTTATAGTAGGTACTTTATTGTGGAAATAAAATATAAAATCCTTCCCCAGCCAAGAGTTCCATTAGAAAATGAAAAATTCAGCCTCGGCATGGATGCAAATGCTTGCTTTTTTATGAGCCCGGCCAACATTCCTACTCTGAGTTGCTTTGGTGTTGTGCCCGCTGCAGTCTTGGGAAGGTAAAAGGGCTCTGCCATGCATTGCCTTAGCCAGCAGGGCTTCCATGGCTGGCCCCGAGCACAGGATCCCAGGGCCTGTGCCTCCCCGACATGAGTGAGGTGTTCAAATCAAAAGGCGGAGGCAGCCCCTAATCACACCTGTGCTGATACCTGGGCAGGCAGTAAAGGTGCTCTTCGCTTCCTTGAGCCATTTTCTGTTGCCCACTTATTTTTTCCAGCATGCAAACCAATGCCAGAGAGCTCATGCTGGAAATTCGAGAGGCGGAGATCCCAATCATGCTTATTGCTACTCTAGAAAAGGCTGATGGAAGAGGATGAAAGTATCGAATAAATGAACAGGGGAATGATCTTTAGCTTTTAAGCCTTCTGCATCCTCTTATGGTTTCAGATAATCAAGACAGAAATATCCTCTTATGAAACATTTCACAGACAATAGAACAAAGCTGTGCTATATAAAGGTATATCAAAGCAAAAAACCTCAACATCCTCTTAAATAAAAACAATATATATAATATATATACACACAAGAAGTCTAGAAGAATATAAATCAAAATGTTAATGGCTACATTTTATAGGATGCCAATTACACACTTCAAAGCTGCTTAAAAAATGTTAACAGTAGTCATCTCTGAATTAGGGAAGATTAGACGTAATCTTACTTTTTTTCCTGCTCGCATATATTTTCCAAATTTTCTTGACTGTATATGTGTCTTTTTTTTTCTTTTTTTTGAGCCAGAGTCTCAGGTTCTGTCACCCAGGTTGGGGTACATGGGTCTGATCTCAGCCCACTGCAACCTCTGCCTCCCAGGCTCAAGCAATTCTCCTGCCTCGGCCTCCTGAGTAGCTGGGACTACAGGAGTGAGCCACTACGCCTGGCTAATTTTTTGTATCTTTAGTGGAGACTGGGTTTCACCATGTTGGCCAGGCTAGTCTTGAACTCCTGACCTAAAGTTATCCACCCGCCTCAGCCTCCCAAGATGCTGAGATTACAGGCATGAGCCACCATACCTGGCACATATATGTATCATTTCAGTAAATATGTAAAAGTTATTTTCAAAAGTCTTCCATAATTCATTCAATAATGAATTGATGTTTGTGTAGCTCTTTGTACTTTATCAAGGTTTCCACACATTTAATCCATAAAACAATGGGAAATAGTACGACTGTCATTTCAGAGAGGAGAAAACAGACTGTGAGATGTTATAAAACTTATTCAAAGTCAACAAGCTAGTAACTAACAGGATCAAGATCTAGATCTCCAGATCTCTTCCAAATTTCATGGCTTTTATTTTCTTTTTCTCAATATTGGCTATGTCGTATGGTCTAGTATGTGCTACTAGATACATAAACCCCACAGGAATATACCTTGCACAGAATAGAAGCATTGGAGTTCTTACACAAAGATTTAAGCAAAGGGAAATACATAATTTTTCAAACTCAGTATTGGTTGAGGGGGAACATGTAAAACACCAGGGGAGGTTTGGAGACCAAACCTCCAAACACCAGGGAGGTAGGAAAATTTGCTCTCCTGGTTCCTATATCATACGTGCTTGACTTCATTTTAACCCCATTCAGAAAGGGAAAAGGAAATTTGACAAAAGTGAAGCCAAAACACTTAGGGAGAAAAAGCACACATGGCATCAAATAATGAAATTAAGCTAGAGGTATTTAGATACTGCTAAATGTTGTTTTGTTTTGTTTTAGAGACAGAGTCTCGCTTTGTCACCCAGGCTGGAGTACAGTGGTACGACCTTGGCTTACTGCAACCTCTGCCTCCTGGGTTCAAGCAATTCTCCTGCTTCAGCCTCCTGAGTAGCTGGGATTACAGGTGTGCACCACCACACCTGGCTAATTTTTGTATTTTTAGTAAGGACAGGGTTTCGCTATGGTGGCCAGGCTGGTCTTGAACTCCTGACCTCAAGTGATTTGCCTGCCTTGGCCTCCTGTGCTAGGATTACAGGTGTGAGCCACCACGCCTGGCTAGATACTTCTAAATGTTTATTAGAGGAGAGGGAAGACCCAGGGAAAGGTTAAAGATTTTGGGGAACAAGAAAGAGAGGGCAGAAATAGAAAAGGACACAAAATAAGATGGGTTTGGATCCCTAGTAAGAATCATGGCCAATTTGGCATGAAGAACCCAAGACAGTTATAAAAGAGAGTGAGAAAGACCCATTAGTACCTTCATTCCCGCTGCGGCTGCAGGGCCACTGGGGTCTACAGCCTGGATGTGGCATGGCTTACTTCCTCGCACCACAAAACCCCAGCCAACCGCGTCACCAACAATCTGGAGAGGAAAACCACAATTAGCAAGCAGCCGACTGTCTCCGGCAATTTGCTTATTCTTCTGAGGGAGAGAAGACCAGCCCAGGATTAAGTATGCACCGTGACATATTTTCCCCCGTTTCTCTCTCCCCTGCCAGGGGATTGGAACACTGCTTCTATCACAAACCCAGGCATCTCCCTGTAGAAAAGGTGGTAAAAAAAAATCTAACCTGTTTGGCAGAAAGAAGATGCTCCCGTGAGGGCATGATTCAATAAACAACTGGAAGATTTTCTCTTTCTTAGGCTGTTATACAATGTAATGTCAGACTCCAATAGAAGGTTTAGAAAAAGTCATAACATGGTTGAAATGTCTCTCCGGATACAATTTCTACTCTAAGTTTGTTCTTTTCCCCAGTATCCAAATGATACACTCTTGATCCTGCAATGTCATTAAAGTCTAGCATAATTATTTAAATTACTAATGGTGGGATATGAAGAGACTTGGCTTTCTTTTCTTTTTTTTTTTTTCTTCTTGAGACAGAGTCTTGTTCTGTCACCCAAGCTGGAGTACAGTGGTGCAATCTCACCTCACTGCAACTCCCACCTCCCGGGTTCAAGTGATTCTCCTGCCTCAGCCTCCCGAGTGACTGGGATTACAGTCACGCAACACCACGCCTGGCTAATTTTTTGTATTTTTAGTAGAGACAGGGTTTCACCATGATGGTCAGGCTGGTCTCAAACTTCCGAGCTCAGGTGATCTGCTCGCCCAGCCTCCCAAAGTGCTGGGATCACAGGCATGAGCCCTCATGCCCAGGTTAGACTTGGCTTTCTAAAAACACAATATTCTCCAACAAGGGGGGAAAAAATTGAAAAAGTACATAAAGTTCACAATGTACAATGTACAAGTAGACTGTAAACCAAAAGTTGTTTGGAATTAGAGAAGGCCTTTTCTATAGAAATCATTATTAGAGCTGACAGTTTCATTCCCTGGACAGCTCCTAGCCACGTCTTTCACACATAGCCCAACTAAAACACAGCTGAAACACATTCACAATCAATTACTAACAATGTTGGCATTTAAATTAAAAATCAAAAACAAATACTTTCAAAATACAATCTGCTCTCTCTTCAATGCTGGAGACTGAGGAAAAACAGGGAGAAACAGGGAGGTAAACGAAAATTTTTGTGGAAATGCTCAAGATTTTCAGGCACTTCCATTACTTTACAGTTTGCTGTTATTTGTGTATTATACTCAATTTCACTTCCGAAGGTACAGTTTATCTTTTCCTCTGGTACAGACGTGTTATCAGTGCCTTTCTCCTATTAACTCCTCAGCATTCAGAATGTGAAGCGGCCCTTAGCAAATGTTTGTTGCGTGACTGAGTGTGGATAGAATTCTCCCCCAGCCTGAGGTAATGCCACTAAGTTAGAAGATGAAGGAGAAGTAGAAGTGTTTTGAAGAGGGTATGAACGTGAATTTGAGGAGATTGACAGAAGGAGACACGGGAAGGGGAGTGGGGGTGGTGATGCTGAGAGGAGCACTTTCATTCCATTTGAAGAAATCCAATGCAGGCAGAAGGAACCTAAAGGACCTCCAAGAAGGGGCAGGCGGTCCGGAGCTGCTCACAGCAAGTCAGAGGCTTGTGTACCTCAAGGCATGCTCACATTGTCGAAGCACCCTGCCTACGGTAGAACAATTTATCCCACAGTTTCCTTTCTCTACCTTAACACTCCCCTAATGTTTTAAATAACGTCTAGAATTAATTATAATGCAGAAGGGATTATTGGCATCATTGGCACTTCCATTTGCCATAAAATTAATAATAATTTAAATTACTAATGGTGGGAAATAAAATCTAAAATTATTAGATTTTAAGGCAAATGCAAGTGCAAATGATGCCAATCTTAAAATTTGCAATTAAATTAGAATAAGCGTATAATGGAAATCTTTTCTTTAACAAACAACACATCAAAAAAATGTTAAATGCTGTATGAATAATAAAGCATGTGAAGTCCTAATGCATCTTAGTGCCTTAAGGTCAAGAAAACCTATTATCATAATTATGCTAAAAACAAAAAGAAAACTAGAAAAACAGTTTTCAGGTCAGTCTATAAGCTACCCATTGACACATGGACACGGCGCAGAAGAATGGGCAGCACAGGAGAAACAGGCCAGACCATCAGCCTACCGTGAATGTCTTCCTTGCATACGGAGCCCCGGGAGTAAGGAGTTCCTCAGAGGTGACGGGTCTCTTCAGCACTGTCAGACAAACATAATGTCAAGACATAAGCACTTCCAAGTCCTCCATCCATGTATTCAGCAGCTATTTATTGATATCTCATAGGTGACCATCGGTAGAAAAAGTAGCAAAGATCCCTGCCTCACACTTTATATTTTAGCTGAGTGGAGACAGAAAATAGCAGCAAACATACATAACCCTAAACCTACCTTACAAAGCTAAGGAAAAAAAGAAAAGGAAGGAAAGCAAGAGTGGCGGGGGTGGGGATAAGAGGACAGGTCAATTTTTTTTTTCTTTCTTTCTTTTTTTTTTTTTTTTGAGACGGAGCTTTGCCCTTGTCGTCCAGGCTGGAGTGCAATGATGCAATGATGCGATCTCGGCTCACTGCAACCTCCGCCTCCTGGATTCAAGCAATTCTCCCACCTCAGTCTCCTGAGTAGCTGGGATTACAGGCACCCAACACTACATCTGGCTAATGTTTGTATTTTTAGTAGAGACAGGGTTTCACCATGTTGGCCAGGCTGGTCTTGAACTCGTGACCTCAGGCAATCTGCCCACCTCAGCCTCCCAAAGTGCTGGGATTACAAGCGTGAGCCACCCGGCCTCATTTCCTTCTTAATACCTAGGACTGCATGTACACACTGCTTTCTGCCCTGAGTAATAATGCTAGTGAGCTTTTCGGAGTATTTAACATGTGCTAAAGAGGCACCATGCGAGGTGATGTGAATATATTAACTCACTTAATCGTCACAAGAATGAACGAGTTAGGATCGTTGTTATCCCCATTTTATAACTGCAAAAACAACCTTAGAAAAGTTAAATTGATTGTGTCCAAGGTTCCAGAGCTAATGGGTGGCAGAAGTAGAATCAAACTCAGGCATTAGACACCAGTGCCCATATTCTCAGCTACTGTGCCACACTCACTCTGGGCCATGCTGTCCTGCAAGCAAAAGAAAGGGTCTAGAAGCTCAGGAAGATAGTGGCATGCCATCCTCCTCACATCAGCTCGCTGCTGTTGCCCACCAAGATAGCAGACAGCAGCCAGTTCCTGACTTGTGGCTGCCTAAAACCCACTGAAATGAACCTCCCCATCCATCCTGTGCTCACTAAGAACTGGAGAGGGGCTGTCATATCCTCCCCAAATAGCCAGGGGGTCAGGGGACAGGGACCATTCTAATCCAGCTCTGTAGACATCGTGAACTTGAAGTGCCACAGACAAACAGAAAAGGCCCCAGCCACGGGGCCTAACCTGGTGAAGTGGCATCCTCCGATCCCCTTTGCTAGTGACAGTCAGAGGTCAGATACCAGTCCTGGAATGAGTGTGCAGCAGACAAGGAAAGGGAGCGTGGGGAGAGGCCTGATGATCCACCAGGCAGCTGGGCCTTGCCCGCTGGTTACATGCGCGGCCTTCTGGTCTGACCAGCACCCTCTCAGTGAAAGGCAATCCAGTGCTTCTCGTTGAGGTGACAGTTCGCTGATCTTATCACCTTTGCTTTCAGAAATCTCATGAAAGTGAAAATTAATTTATGGTCGCTAAACAAGAGGGAGTAGGTCAAACATCAAGATGGAAATAGTATCTCTCAGCAGATGGATGGGAGAGAAGAAAAGTGGTCAATATTTGAGGACTGAGATCTTTTTTATTCCCCGTCAGATAACTCTCTCTCCACTCCCCATAAACCCTCAGGGGCTTATGAATTTGGATACATGAATCACACTGTACTCTTTGGCAGCTGTGCTGACCATTCATTTTAATGCACTTCTCCTCTTTATTATGTTGAAAACTGTAGAAACTTTGAGGCCCAGGAAAAGCTTTTTTCTTTTCATATCCTTGGAAGCTTATTTGCTTATTACGATGATACCGATAACATCAATGTCTTTAGTACTGTTTTTTTTGTGTCTGGCTTAGGGCATTTGTATACAGTACTAAAAAACATATCCTGGTATCTTTAGGATAATTAATTTTTAAATGCATCACTGTGAAGGCCTGATCATCTGCTTGAGAAAAAAAAAAAAATCACAGATGAGCTCACTAGGTCTTGGGAACCCTCTCAAGAGTGAGAGAGAAGCTTGTCAAACTATGGGTAAGACGTGGGATTTACAAACCACAGCTCAGTCCTGACAGCTCTCGTCCTTGGAGACCCACGAAAGGAAACAAGACCTTTCTCTTCTGCCTGCGTAACAGTAAACTCTTGCCTTTGACCCAGAGGCAAGGAGAAAGAGGAAACAATACTAACCTACCTCAGAGAACATGGATTTTGTTGCTAATTTCAGTAATTCACACTTTTTTCGTATTCCATCATAAGCAATCAAAAACATGTAAAATGGTTATGGCACCACTGACCCTTTTATTGAAACTGAGATCTTTTGCTTTTAACTTTGAGGATGCCTGTCAGATTTCTATGAAGGCTTCAAACATCCCATTTCTAAGAATTCAGTTCTCCTTTTTCATTCTGCTTTATCAGCAAACTCCAGGAATTGAAAAACCTAGCACTCAACGACTCTTCAGCCAGTACAGCGTGGAAGCCAGTTTCTTCATTCACTTACAGGTTACATTTATTCCTGCCGCTAACTCTCCAGAAGGCAGCAAAAAAAGAAAAAAAGTTAGATCAGGAAAAAGAGCCACCTTCCTAGATAATAGCATTAGATGACAGAGTTTTCTCTCAAAGCCTTTTGAACCTCATCGATTAGTCCTTATTCTTACTAACGTGAAATATTTTGTTTTGTTCTCCAAAGAGGTGGTGTATTCACTGAGTTGGGGGTTATGACCTGTCATCTTTGTATCCCCAGGATCTGATGATGAGGAAACAACATGAACAAAAGGAACAGAGCCTCTCTTCCTTGAAGGTGACAAACTGGACAGGGCCTTAAACAAATGGGTCTGAGAGTGTTTTCTGGCAGTTGCTGTAGTGATGGACCACATGTCCTCATCCTGGCAAGGAGAACAGTGAGGACATGAGATGGGTAAGGGATGCTGAGAAAGGGTAGCTTCAATGGATTGCCAGTTCCTGGGGGGTTAACTGATTGGGTGGAAGAAGGATTGTTTCTAAGTACATGTTCACCAACAATCTTTGTGCCTAGATTTTTTTCCTGGAATATAAAGGCCATGGAGGTTGAGGAGCAGAGTTTGAAACCACAAGGCACCCAGGGTCAATTCCAGGGATAGTTGGGTTTGCACACATCCATGCTTCTTCCTTAAGGGTGTTGGGCCCCAACAGATCTTTGCATCGGCTGCATTCGGGGGAAGTGCTGTTTCCCCTGCTGTGAACACTGTTACACACACTGCCCAAAACCCCCTTCAGGGCTCAGGAACTCCTCCCAGCTCAGGGAGTGCTAATGGCATGGCAACGGCCCTCAGCTGTCTTGGGGACCATCTCTCTGAAGACAGCTGCTTCGCCCAAGGTCATGCCCTCCTCCCAGGGGCAGCCAATATCTAGTAAGTGGCCAACACGTGGATCTAAAGGCCCAGCCCCTCAACACAACTCCAGGCAACTTGGAAGGGCCATCCCAGCTCCTGAGGTCTTATTGGGTCAATGACAGCCTTCACTGAGACTGGGCTACAACCCAATTTCTCCTTCAGCCCAATTCTTCCTTCCCTTCATTCTACATGTGTGGACCCCAAGAGCATGCTCTAACTTACTAGAACCCGCACGCTAGTCTCCTGCTATCTCAGATTCTGCTTCCCAGGGACCTGCCCAAGTCCCCACAGTCTTAGGAGTGGGGCCACCTTTTGGGCACTCACCGGACTTGGGGTTGCAGAGCACAGGGGGGCTGCTGCTGAGGGTGGGGCTGCTGCTGAAGTAGCCGCTGCTGCCACAGCTGCTCATGCTGCTCCTCCTCACTGCAGACACGATCTTGATCTCCTTGCTGGGGCTCACTGCGTAGGCCAGAGAACACACACAGTCAACGAGGGGATGGTCTCGGCTCACTAGAGCACATAGGCTTTCAGCTGCAACGTCCAGGGAGGCCAGGAAAAAGCACACTGGTCTTAGTGGCAGAAAAACAAGAGCTTGAGTTGCAGCTCTACTCTTACTTTATATTATATTATTTTATTTTTTTGAGATGGAGTCTCACCCTGTTGCACAGGCTGGAGTACAGTGACACAACCTGGGCTCACTGCAACCTCTGCCTCCTGGGTTCATGCAATTCTCTTGCCTCAGCCTCCCCAGTAGCTGGGACCATAGGTGCCCATCACCATACTCGGCTAATTTTTGTACTTTTAGTAGAGATTGGGTTTCACCATGTTGGCCAGGCTGGTCTTGAACTCCTGGCCTGAAGTGATCCACCCATCTCAGCCTCCCAAAGCACTAGGATTACAGACGTGGGCCACCATGCCTGGCCAGCTCTGCCACTTGTAGCACAACTTGGGGTCACCTCAGGGAAGCTCTCTGAGCCTAAATTTCCCTGACTGTAAAGTGAGAACAATGCTGTCTTATAGGATTGTGCAAGGGGTGGGTTATATCATGAGCATGAAAAGATGATATTATTTCAAGAATTACCACATCCATGCTGAGCAGTCCTTGCTAGGATATAAATGACTTGCTAGTTACACGGGATGAATCAACAGTGAAAATAAATGCCTTCTGATTTCAAATAAAACCATTAATCAGGCCGGGCCCGGTGGCTCATGCCTGTAATCCCAGCACTTTGGGAGGCCGAGGTGAGCAGATTACGAGGTCAGGAGTTCAAGACCAGCCTGGCCAACATGGTGAAACCCCATCTCTACTAAAACCACAAAAATTAGCCAGGCATGGTGGCACGCACTTGTAATCCCAGCTACTTGGGAAGCTGAGGCAGGAGAATTGCTTGAACCTGGGAGGCAGAGACTGCAGTGAACCAAGATGGCACCACTGCACTCCAGCCTGGGCGACAGAGTGAGACTCTGTCTCAGAAAAAATAAAAACAAAAACAAAGAAGGATTAATCATCCAGAGCCATGGAAGAAGGAGCTTAAAATACAGAGCACACATTCAGGCTTTGAGCGTGTATGTCTTTACTTTTCTGATTTGGTTCTCTGTCATGGAGTAAGCTGGCTCTCAACATGGGGAGGGTATATGACTGAATGAAAGAAATCATGGAGACCCTGGCACGTGGGAAGCCCAAAATAAATGCTGGTGTTCATGGTCATGATGTGGTTCGAATGTATGTCCCCACCCAAATCTCATGTTGAAAGGTAATCCCCAATGTTGGAAGTGGGGCCTGGTGGGAGGTGACTGGATCATGGGGGTGGATTCTCATGAATGGTTCCATCCCCATTACACTGTCCTCACCATAGTAAGTGAGTTCTTGTGAGATCTAGTTGTTTGAAAGTATGTGGCACCTCCACCCCCAACCCCTGCCACTCCCACTTGCGCCATGTGAGACCCCTACTCCCACTTCACCTTCAACCATGATTGGAAGCTTCCTGAGGTCTCCCCAAAAGCAGATACCACCATCCTTCCTGTTTTCCCTGCAGAACGGTGAGCCAATTAAACTTCTTTTCTTGATATTAGGTTGGTGCAAAAGTCATCGCGGTTTTTGCCATTAATAGTAATTTCTGTGCCCCAGGCACCGAGCCAAGCTTGGGTGCATGAAGCTTGGTATGAGTTAAACTGATGTTAGCTAAAGCTGGTGGACAGAATAGGAGGTGACAATGAGACCACTTACAACTATAGGACATTTCTGTGCCCCATTACTTTTTGCAATTTTGCCATTACTTTTCACAACAAAAACCGCAATGACCTTTGCACCAACCTAATAAATTACTCAATCTCAGTTATTCCTTTATAGCAATTCAAGAATGGACTAATACAGGTTACCATGGTTACTATATCGTTCTACTCATCATTATCACTTGTTCAGGTCTATCGGGCCCACTCAAGAAACAGGCAAACCCTTGTTTGTGAGAAAGTAAAATCACTCTGCAGAAGTTTACAATGTTAAGGAGACATATATCAAGTGTGTCCTCCTGACCTGACCAGATTGGCCTGGGAGCACAGGATTAGCCTCCTGACCCTCAGTCAGTCTTTCTTTTCCCACAGAAGCTTATGCTTCTTTCTCTCCTCCAGATGGCTGTGTCTGAGGAACCTGGGTGTGGGGGATCGGGGAGGTGGTGGCATATTAAACGCACTGGAGTAAACAAAACTGCTGGGAGCTAAGCTGGTGTTAGCTACAGCTGGTGGACTGAGCTCTGCCCACCACTTCCTAACTTTGCGTAAGCCACTTAATTGCTCTGTATCTTAATCTCTTCAACTGTAAAATAGGGATAAGAAAAGTCCTTTCTCTTAGGGTTACAGTAAGAATTAAATGAGAAAATTCATACAACCAAGCTTGGCTCAGGGCCTGGGGCACAGAAATGTCTCAATACATTCAGTTGTTTTGTTTTGAGACAGAGTCTCGCTCTGTCACTGAGGCTGGAGTGCAGTGGCGAGATCGCTGTTCACTGTAACCTCCGCTTCCCGGGTTCAAGTGATACTCCTTCCTCAGCCTCCTGGGTAGCTAAGACTACAGGCACCCACCACCACACCCAGCTAATTTTTGTATTTTTAATAGAGACAGGGTTTCACTTTGTTGCCCAGGCTGGTCTCGAACTCCTGACCTCAGGTGATCCTCCCGCTTTGGCCTCCCAAAGTACTGGGATTACAGGCATAAGCCACCACACCTGGCCTCAATACATATAGTTGTGGCTGGGTGCAGTGGTTCACAACTATAATCCCAGAGCTTTGGGGGACTGAGGCAGGCGGATCACCGGAGGTTGGGAGTTCGAGACCAGTCTGACCAACATGCAGAAACCTTGACTCTACTAAAAATACAAAATTAGCCAGGTGTGGTGGCATATGCCTCTAATCCCAGCTACCCAGGAGGCTGAGGCAGGAGAATCGCTTGAACCCGAGAGGCGGAGGTTGCAGTGAGCCAGGATCACGCCATTGCACTCCAGCCTGGGCAACAAGAGCGAAACTCCATCGCAAAAAAATATAAAACAAAATAAATAAATAAATAAATAAATAAATAAATAAATAAATAAAATACATATAGTTGTAAGTGCTCTCACTGTCATCTCCTGTTCATAACCAAGTCATGACACTTTCATATTGTGCTGGGTTAAGCCCAGTAGTTTCAAACCTTAAACCAACCAATTTCTCGAGATAACACCAAGTTTTCAGGGCAGTTCAAGATACCCCTTTAAGCACCTCACCCTCTTAAACAGACGGACACTTACTTCAAGTTCACATTTTCTGGATGCACTCATTTGTGAACACCAATCACATCATTTTTGTTTTCCTCTTACACCCTCCTGGACAGACAGATCAACCAAATCAGCACTCATAATCAATGGAGGGACAGCTGTCACAGCCAGGTCACCTTTACATCCAATCACCATCATTTCCATCACAGCTAACTGCACATCTGAGACTGTCGGACTTTAACTGTGTAACACCCCCGGCTGCTATGCTCTACAAGACTTGCATCAGCTTTGCATTGTTCTTCTTTGTTCTCTGTCACCCACTGATAATGGGTGGATAACCAGTCACTTTTTTGTGGTTACCAGTGTAAATGCCCACAGAAATAATCTTCTTATTCATCTTTGAAATAGATAGCTTTTTGAAGTTGTGATTTACAAAACTGAATAATTAAATGATATGTAAAAACTACTTGTAAGGCTGGGCATGGTAGCTCATGCCTGTAATCCCAGCACTTTGGGAGGCCAAGGCAGGAGGATCATGAGGTCAGGAGCTTGAGACTAGCCTGGTCAACATAGTGAAACCCCATCTCTACTAAAAATACAAAAATTAGCCAGGCATGGTGATGCACGCCTGTAGTCCCAGCTACTTGGGAGGCTGAGGCAGGAGAATTGCTTGAACCTGGGAGGCAGAAGTTGTGGTGAGCCAAAAGCACACCACTGCACTCTAGCCTGGGCAACAGAGTGAGACTCCATCTAAAAAACCAAACAAACAAAAACTTGTATTTATTTATTTATTTTTAAATTTTTTGGACAGACGAGGTCTTGCTATATTGCCCAGCCTAGTCTCAAACTCCTGACCTCAAGTGATTCTCCCACCTCAGCCTCCCAAGTAGCTGAGATTATAAGTGTGCGCCATCATGCCAGGCACAAATGGCTTGCAATGAAAAATAAATAAGGTATGAGTGAGAGCATGAGAGGCCTTCTATAATTCAAATACACACTTTCATAAAACAGAGTCCTGGCATCTAAGTTGGCTGTCCAAGAAAAACTTAGGGTTTCGGAATTGTTTTCATACTTCTTGGTTATGAATAAGTAAAAATTCTTTTTTTTGAGATGTAGTCTCACTCTTTTGCCCAGGCTGGAGTGTAGTGGTGCGATCTCGGCTCACTGCAAGCTCCGCCTCCCAGGTTCAGGCCATTCTCCTGCCTCAGCCTCCCAAGTAGCTGGGACCACAGGTGCCTGCCACCACGCCCGGCTAATTTTTTGTATTTTTAGTAGAGACAGGGTTTCACCGTGTTAGCCAGGATGATCTCAATCTCCTGACCTCGTGATCCACTCGCCTCGGCCTCCCAAAGTGCTGGGATTACAGGCGTGAGCCACCACGTCCGGCCATGAATAAGTAAAAAGTCTACTCTCCCATAGAGAACAGAGTTTCACAAAGGTGAGTCAAGGCTCCACTATTTCTCAAAAGACAAACACTTGAGCTCCAATAAACGCTGGGATGGCATACCTGACATAAAGCTGGTAGATTTCCGATTGTCATGGCTCTGCTTCCTCAGGCAGAAGGGACTGTCATGAGTTTCCTGGGAGGAAGGGGACTTTTCATTTAGCAGCTCCATCAGTCTTCGCCTCCGCCGGAAGTTCATTCTAAACTGGTAGAGAAGATTGCTGTCCACAAATGGGTGCTTGTTGGACACTGGGGAGAAAAAAAAAAAAAAAAAAACAGCCAATGAGGACTATCTGGCATCCTGGACACTGAGCATGACAGCCAAAGGACCACAGGCAACAGGGACAAAAGTCTCAAGAAAGACTTCTCTTCCACAGATGCCACATGAGCTGCTGTCCATCCATCCATGGTCCCAAGTTCTTTCCACATGGCATGCACTTTAAAAATTTGCTAACCAATTCTTCTGGGGAACTTTGTCTGACCTTGCTTTCAATCTGAGTTCTATTCTTCCTAGTGTTCTCCTGGCCCCTGTGCCGCCTCCACCAAAGCACTGATAACACTGCACCCTCACTGTCTGCCCCCTTCTCTGTCTTTCCCTCTAAACTCTAAGCTCTTTGGGGCAGTGATCACGGCTTCACTTACTCATGTGTCCCCAGTGCCCAGCAGAGACCTTGTCCCATAGCAACACTCGATTCTTTCTTTTCTTTTTTTTTTTTTTTGAGATGGTGTCTTGCTCTGTCACCCAGGCTGGAGTGCAATGACATGATCTCGGCTCACTGCAACCTCCGCCTCCTGGATTCAGGCGATTCTCCTGCCTCAGCCTCCCAAGTATCTGGGATTACAGGTGCCTACCACCACATCTGGCTAATTTTTGTATTTTTCGTAGAGATGGGGTTGCACCATGTTGGCCAGGCTGGTCTTGAACTCCTAACCTCAAGTGATCCACTTGCCTCAGCCTTCCAAAGTGCTAGGATTACAGGCGTGAGCCACCACGCCTGCCCCCTCAATTCATTTTTAAAAACTTTTTATTTTGAGGCCGGGCGCAGTGGCTCACACTTGTAATCCCAGCACTTTGGGAAGCCAAGATGGGTGGATCACTTGAGGTCAGGAGTTTGACACCAGCCTGGCCAACATGGTGAATCCCCGTTTCTACTAAAAATACAAAAATTAGCCGGGTGTGGCGGCATGCACCTGTAATTCCAGCTACTTGGGAGGCTGAGGCATAAGAATCACTTGAACCCAGGAGGCAGACATTGCAGTGAGCCGAGATTGTACCACTGCACTCCAGCCTGGGCAACAGGGCAAGACTCTGTCTTAGAAAAAACAAAATAACTTCTTATTTTGAAATAATTATAGACTTACAGAGAGTTGCAAAGAAAATACAGAGACCACACACTGTATGATTCCATTCATATGGAATGTCCAAAACGGAGACATTTCTAGAGACAGAAGTATACTGGTGGTTGCCAGGGGCTGGAGGGGGGCCTTGGGGTTGGGTTGGGAGGGGTATTAGCTACAGCATGCAATTTCTTTTTGAGGTGATGAAAATGTTCTAAAATTGCCTGTTGTGATGATTGCAAAACTCTGTAAATATGCTAAGAACCACTCAATGGTACACTTTAATGAATTGCTTGGTATGTGAACTATATCTTAATAAAGCTGTTTAAAAAATTCAACAGAGTACAGAGAGTTCCTGGGTACCCTTCACCCAGATTTCCCCAATGGTAACCCCTTACATAAATAACTATAGTACAATATCAAACCAGAATGTTGACATCGGTACAGTCTACAGCCCTTATTCAGATGTCATCAGCTTTTACATGCACTCATTTGTGTGTGTGAGTGTGCATCTGTGTGCATGAGCACATAGAGTTCAGTGAGGTTTTATTACATGTAGAGATTTTTGTAACCACCAGGACAACATGACAAAGGCGCTCTCTCCCTGTGTTTCCCCTCTATGGCCTCCTTCACTGAGTTCCTGACGCCTGGCAACCACCTTTGCTCTCCATCTCTATAATGTTATCACTTTGAGAACAGTATGTAAGTGGAATCATACTGTCTGTTGCCATTTATGTTTGATGTTTAATACATAAATAAATGGTTATCCAATAATAAAGCCTGCTTAGTCCCTAAGGAAATCTATACTTTATTTATTTACTAATTTATTTAGAGATAGAGATTCACTCTGTTGCCCAGGCTGGAGTGCAGTGGCACGATCATAGCTCACTGTAGCCTCAAACTCTTGGGCTCAAGCAATCCTCCTGCCTCAACCTCCCGAGTAACTAGGACTACAGACACACACCACTGTGCCCAGCCCAAATCCACACTTTACAGTGATATAATCATGCCAGTGTGTCAACTTGAAATTAGTAATAACAAGAGCTAGCCCTCATACAGCGTGTCCTATAAACCCAGCATGACCTTAAGTAAGTGTCTTATATGTTCTAATTCCTTTAATTATCACAATAGCTTGGGATATAGGTACCATTATTTTATTTCCTTTCTTTTTTTTTTTAGACAGTTTCACTCTTGTTATCCAGGCTGGAGTGCAATGGCACAATCTCGGCTCCCCACAACCTCCACCTCTCAGGTTCAAGCGATTCTCCTGCCTCAGGCTCCCAAGTTGCTGGGATTACAGGCATGTACCACCAGACCCAGCTAATTTTGTATTTTTAGTAGAGACGGGGTTTCTCCGTGTTGACCAGGCTGGTTTTGAACTCCTGACCTCAGGTGATCCGCCCGCCTCAACCTCCCAAAGCTCTGGGATTACAGGCGTGAGCCACTGCGCCCAGCCTATTTTATTTCTTATTTTTTTTCCTATTTTTGATGAGGAAACTGAAGTCCAAAGGTTTAGGAAGTCACTCCAAAAAGACACAGTAAATGGCAGAGGTAGAAATATAACACAGTATCTGATTCTAGAGTCCAAGTTCCAAACCACTGCTCTTACTGCTTCTATGAGAAACTATTCCTTCTCTAGATCATCAAAAAAATCAAAACCATGTCTCACAAAACTGCTCATGTACGACTATCAGTCTGAAGGTACACCCAATTCTATACGATTTATATCTTAGAAATCCATTGAGATTTATTTATTGCCTCAATTTTACACTTTGAGTTCATGATTCTTGGAGCTATAGTGCAGGTGGTACATCAGGCCCCAAAAGCCATGTTCCTGGGTCATTTCTGTTCATCTGCAGAGTCATCAGGAACTCTGCAAACTGGTCACCATCATGCAGACGTCTCATGCAACTTTCCCCCAAAAGCAAAAAACTTGAATAGACAACACAAAAACAGAAGACACACATATATCTAATCAGCACATGAAAACAGGGTCAACCTCATTAGTCAATATGGAAATACACATTAAAACCCCACAATGAGGCCAGGTGCGATGGCTCATGCCTGTAATTCCAGCACTTTTGGAGGCCGAGGCAGGCAAATCACTTGAGGTCAGGAGTTCAAGACTAGCCTGGCCAAGATGTTGAAACCCAACCTCTGCTAAAAATACAAAAATTAGCCAGGCATGGAGCATGCCTTTAGTCCCAGCTACTCAAGAGGCTGAGATGGAAGGATCGCTTGAGCCTGGGAGTCGGAGGTTGCAGTGAGCCAAGATCACTTCATTGCACTCCAGCCTGGGTGACAGAGCGAGACTCCACTATTTTTTTGTTGTTTGATCATCCATCTATTTATTCAACTACCATGTATTGAGTTAGGTTAACTATATACCAGGTACTTTTCTTGCCCAATGTTTTAGGAAAAAATGGTAAAAACAGAAGTTAAACCAAAAATTCAATCCTGGCAACTTTTTTTTGGATTGTAAAATTCAAAATATTATAAACCACTAGGAAAAGAATCTAGATAATAAAAACCCATTAAGAATCATATTAACACCTTTATCAATCATGCCAACTGGTTCAACAGTCTCTTTTGCTATTTCACAAACAGCATCACATCCTCTCTAGGTCAATATCAACAAATGCAATCTAGGGTTGTAACTATATTTATTATCCACATATGGTAATGAACAATTCTTCTGGTCACATAAATATCAAGTCTTACAACATGGGTCCCTACTAAGAGAGCGCCAGTGCCAGCATTTAATCTAATAATTCATACGGCTTTCCGCAATTTTTAAATGGTGATACTTACTTTGGCCAAATGAAATATGTTGGCCTCAAAGACAAATATAGTTAATTCAGTGGTATTTCTACATGTTCTTAAAAAATAATCTGGACAGGTGTGGTGGCTCACACCTGTAATGCCAGCACATTGGGAGGCCAAGGTGGGAGGAGAGCATGAGGCCAGGAGTTCAAGATTAGCCTGGGCAACACATTCTGTCTCTAAAAATAAAATGAAATTAAAATATTAGCCAGGCATGGTGGTGCATGCCTATAGTCCCAGCTACTCAGGAGGCTGAGGTAGGAGAATCGCTTGATCCCAGGAGGTTGAGGCTGCAGTTACCTGTGATCACATCACTACACTCCAGCCTGGCCAAAGAGTGAGATCCTGTCTCAATCAACCAATCAGTCATCAATGAATGCTCGTGCATGTAATCCCTGCACTTTGGGAGGTTAAAATGGGAGGATCACTTGAGGCCAGGCATTCAAGGCCAGCTTGGGAAACATAGTGAGACTCTGTCTCAAAAAATAAAATATAAAATAAAATAAAATCATAAATAAACAAACCGTCCTTGGATTCAGGAGAGGCTCACCTAATGCAACCTGGACCAAAAAATAAGCCAATCACACTTTGATATGATAGCTACCAACGTGACCCTCTTGAAGATAGTCAAATTTTTACATAAATTTACTACATCACTATACTCAGTAATGCTATAATAAAATTTTGTAGGTAAATTATTTATTTCTGGCAACCTTCTGAGTTTGTTGAGATTTTAAAAAAATCCTCAAGTTGACTTTGGCAAGTTTCTTAAAATTATGACCTGCAAATATATAGCTCTGTAGACGTTTATTAAGACCTACTGTTTTCTCTTGGCACGGTGAATTACATAAAATATTGCCTCTGTATAAGTCAATCCAGGAAAGCATTCTAAATCCAAAAAAAAAAAAAAAAAGTATAACTGACTTCAAAGTACTTTAAGAGTATTTTTAAATGAAATAGAAATTTGACCGCTGACCTAATTATGTCTCTCCTCCAGCTTTAATTATTAACCCAGTGTTTAATTTACACCCAGTCTCCATCTTACACCTCCCCACCTCTATACCACCTATAACCAACTGGGCAAACAT